ATGACAAGAAGCTTCCCACAATTCCTACGGATACATGGGGTGTTGTGAATGAAAACAAGCCCGTTGAAAAGCCACAGAAGAAACGGACCGTCAAGAGACTTCCGCACTTGGAAATACCGGACGAGCACCTGCAAGAGTGGAATTTCCAAATAATGCCTCGATTGAGTCGCCTTCTTCAGAGGATCTTGAAGGAGTCTTCTGAGTCGTGTGGAGTAAACCTCATCATGACTGGCGAATCGCCTGAAAGTGCTAAAACAACGATTTGTGTTACTTGTGCAAGTGTGAAGAAAGTTCGAATGGCCCTCAAGAAGCACTTCGCTCTTGGTCGGGATGACTGGGATTTGATTGTCCTCCGTGGCGATATCGAACGGTCCAAGGTTCCTCGGAACAGACGTCGGCGGCCGGCCAAGACTCGCCCGAATGCGTCCAATGATACACCCTTTCGCCAGCGAGAGCTCAACCCATGTCATCAGCAGCGCCCTCTGTGCGGAGCATCTATCGGTGCCTTTCAGAACGAAGAGCACCTACCCCCCGTCTCATATGGTGGTGCCGTCTTTGTCGATGGCTTGCCGTATGGCCTAACGGTTCATCATATGCTGGAAGCTCCTAGCGAAGATGAGGGCCAAGGCAGTGGCACTGGAGACTCCAATCAAGACGCCCCTTCCAGATCGGCAGGGAACTGGCCCCGTGATACATCAAATAATCCACATCCTGGATTCATGTACGACTATCCAGAGGATGACTCGCCTGACGCGAACTTCGATTTCGAAATTTCCGATCTGGAGGACGGAGACGATCCATCGCAAGGCCTTGAGTCTGGGTATGATGAATTCTGGCTTTCAGATGAAGATTCATCAGATGATGATTCCATCGGCCCTGATGACGATGACGATGACACCGCGTCCATCGGCGATACTGCTGGTATCGAACCGGGCGAAGAACCTCGGCTGCTTGTCACCCAGCCAGCCATTGACGACGTACACGAGGACTTTTTTCCATCTCCAGAAGATCGCGATGACGAGCACCTAGCCTCACACTCTTTAGGTTATGTCCACGCATCATCTGGGGTACGACGCTGGACCCGAAAGGGTTTGAAACATGAGATTGACTGGGCGCTCATCAAAGTCGATGAAGCCCGCATGGACCCTCGCAACATCATTCTCGATACTACCAGATCCAGTATTGCTCGTCCGGGACGCCCTGTCCCACCACAGCCCATATTTCTGAATCAGGTAGCCCGGATGGAGGAGCTAGGTGGCTTGCAAGTTCATTGCTGCGGCCGCACAAGTGGCCTGCAAACAGGGCAGATATCCAAGGCTATGACATTGGTCAAACTTCAGGGGCGGCATTCATTCTCGACGAGCTTTTGCGTCAATGGGAACTTCGGAGGTAAGAGGTGCATTTCAGCGGATCCATGTTTTTGTCTATATGATCCTTAATTAGATACCCTTTTTTCTTTTTGTTTTGTCATGCACACCCATCATTTGTTGCCCTTCTTAGCTGGTAAACATACAGCACCATTCCATCCTAAGACATCGGCTCGTATCGAGTAAACATTACATCAAGCTAATCTCTTCTCATCCGACAGCCCCTGGCGACTCCGGCGCATGGGTCTTCGACCGTCCCACCGGCCGTGTCTGCGGCCACGTTCTCGCCTGGTCCGCAAAAAGCAACACAACCTACATTTCCCCAATGGAGGTCACCTTCGATGACATCGCACGCACCCTCGGCGCCTCCCTTGTCTCCCTTCCCGGCGACCCGAACCGATCCATGGGTTATGTCGACCCGAACTCCTCACAGTCTGCTCATTACCGCTACCCGGCACAGCGGCTTCCAGGGGACTTTGGCCGTCTGGGCTTTGGAGCTGGACCTGGAGCTTCCCCCGGTCCGCCCGTACCACCCTATCCCCATAATTATCCTCGCCCTCAACCCCACCATCCGGCTTACGGTCATCCTCCACCTCCACCTCCCCCTCCTCCTGGCTCCCGAGAAGCCCGTGGGCCGGTGTATAGTGGCCCCGTCCCTCCGATTCCGGCGTCGCTTCTTGCTGGGCCCCGCAATGTCGAACGACAACTTGCTTGACCTTTGGAAGATCTAGAATATGGGGATAATACTTGATATTTATGTCATATTGTTCTGGGTACATTGGTTTTTTTTCTTCTTTTATGATTGTATTGATGTTTTATGGACGTTGGGGATACCCATGATGAAGCGATTTTTGGTTCTCTTTTTGGTTTACCTTTATATAAGAATTATTTCACGGGAACTATTTAAAGAGCAGCATTCATTAAGAGGTTACACTCGATTTGAAGTAGTTGTGATGCAGCTAAGGAAAACACACGCCTTGAGGCTGACGTTAGTCCGGCCTGTTACTTAGGTAGCCTTGCGGAATCAGCCCTGCTCAGGTAGTTTTCCCTTCCTTTTACTAATGTTGCTCTTTGTACCAGAATACGAGGCTGTGGTCTTTTACATTCCTAATTCGCGTGTTTTCTCTACATACTCGGCCCAACGCATGGCCCAACGCCCTAAGACGGGTGTGAAATATAATTTTATCAACCTACCATTTTCAATTGATTCCTACCACTCTAAAAATGACTCGACCAGCCCAAGAGTTAGAGAATAGTATTAAAATTTCCTTGCAACTATATACTAAAAGTCTCAAGTTAAAAATCGCTAAATTGGCGCCAGAATTCAAGATTCCGTACCAACTACTGCGGGGCCAGATTAAAGGTGCCAGACCTCTAAAAGGCCATGATGGCCACGGCAAATCGTTAGAACCGGAGAAAGAGCAGGCATTAATTCATTGGATTCATAATATGAACCATGGTAGCCCCACCAACTGCTGAAATAATTCAGCAAGCTGCTCTCCACATTATACGGCGGCATGATCCTCGGCGTACATTAGCTGGGCCTACCGTTTTATTAGGCGTCTCCCCGATGACTGTCTTTTTATCACGCAAAATCCAATAGAAAAAGATCCGATCGAATCAGCCACGTCTGGCCATTTAGACCCGAGGGGTTAGGGGCTTAATCAAGCATCCCATGGAGGGAAAGGCGAGTATGTATACTTTGTATATTCGGGGGTAGGATTATATTAGGATCGGAGGCCCAGTAATACTTTATACTCCGAATGGCACCAACTCGGCAGCCTCAAAGTACGACCTGCTTATAGTTGATACTGCAATTTTTTCTCAATGTCACACAACTCTAACATTAATCCGAACGGAACCTAAGCATTCTGTTTTTTTGGGATGAGATGTACCTTCCCCGGACCATATATTTAAGCCACCATAGTTACTGCAGGTTCTCCAATCACTCTCTTGCTGAGCAAGTTAGTCCAGCTCTTGTGTAATCTTGACCTCCCGTTGGTCAACCCATATAACCTTGAATTTTGCATCCGGTCAGTTGACAGACCCCTTTGAGGAAGCCTTAGAACTAGCTAGAGAGCAAGAAACGGCGGGGTAGTAACTCAAATAATGTGACATGAGCTAGGTATAGAGTCCGTTGTAACATATACTTGTTTATTGATATTCAGAAGGTAAACTATGCCGTAGGATTTATAGTAAGAATATATTCCGTGTGAAAACCATCATTAGGTTTGCCTTTCATAGAACTGGGGGCTATTCAAAGGGTCTTCAATAAGATAATTGCATAAATACCAACGTGAACCAGGTCAGCAAACCTAGGAAGGTAAGCTCAATTTCAAATACAAAGGTTCACTCCAAAGTTGGAGACTATGGTTCAGCAATCACTTATCCAGAGTGTTTTTCGCCGATGGCTCATTTATAACAGAAACATCGCATCTATATTATTTGCAGCCAGCCCCATGGCAATTCACAAGAATTCGTTTTTTCTGATACTCGGGCTCATCTTACTAGCAACCGAAAGTCCTAGGAGCAAGGGTGATTGGAATTGCTATAAGAGCGGTGATAGTAGGCGGTATATAACCAGACATGTCCAGGCACAAATATTAGTAATAATGTCCTGGATACCCATCCAGGTATACCTGCTCAACTGGTGAGTGAGCACGTGAGCTTTCTAAACCTAACTTCCTGGAAACACTTACCAGTCCTTTAGTATTTCTGATCGTGGTTAACCATATGCAATGGGAATTAATATCCATTATAGTATGTTTACATTTTCATTGGCAAAATGAGATGGCAATAAAATAGACAACAAGAATTTGATTTTTGAAATTAATTTCACACTTTTGGGATCCATGAACTGATGGTACTTCATGAGAGCTGAAAGCTAAGAAAAATCGAGTCACCGACAAAGACAATGGTCCCCCGAACATCATCTTCCGCCCAGACAAAAAGTAGATCAAAAAGAAAACAGTGTATGTCGTGATCCACCTGATGTCGGTGATATGGGACGCAAAAAGGAAATTCACACAACAGCCACATGTTCTGTGATGGGACCCACTTGTTGTGACCCACTTAACGCAACCTTAATCCCAATCCCAAAGAAAGACCTTTGAAGTTATGGATCACATTAGTCTGAATTGACTTTTATGTTAGTGGCATTGCTTCGGTGAAGAAGAAGACAAGTGAGTGGTCCTACTTTGTCATTGTCCACATTTGGTGATCATAACTAAGACTTCTAGATATTTTCGACTATGCTCTACCATTTTGTTTTCCTATACTTTTCACGGCATGCTGATCTCCTAATCAAGATAGTAATCCCCTGAAAATTTTGTTTTCGCTAGTTGCATTGAAATTGGAGCGGCTTTAAGTAGTCTGTAGCCTGTTTCGGATCACATTGTACCGAGTCTTCCATCAATTCCACGGTTCCAAGTTTGAGGGTGTTACAATGTATGCGCCCTAAGAGGAACAGCCTCCAGTGACGTGGTGGACTGCGGCAAATTAGTTGTGGGGGGTGCGTGATGTTTGGTGTTAGATGTGACAACGCATTGGGACACAAAACCTCCACACGGTCTCTCGTGTCCGGGCTAGCCGATGGCGAATCTAGGACCCACCGGGCATATGTGGCTGCCCGTGCTAGTTCTCCTCATCATCCTCATCCTCGTCCTCTTCCATACTCTCCCATTCATCTTCACTACCGCTCTGTTCGGAATCCGCTTCTTCCCGAAGCATACTAAGCAGCTGTAACAACCCTACCTGTGTGCGTGAGGCGTCTTCGGATGCCAAATTTAGACCGGGGCCACCAAGGACCCCCTTCAAGGTTGAAAGCTCATCCGTGTCATTGGGGAGGTTAGGGTCCAGGCTAAGTATGCGGATAACTTTGGTGGGAAAGAGGCGAGGAAGATCTCTGCCGGGTGGTGGGGGTGCGCCACCTGGAACGTTGGGTTCACGCCATCCAAGGGTCTGGGATGTGTGATGTTAGTTGTCCTGCTTTAATTTTTTTATCCATGTTCATAGATCCAAAAAAGAACTCACGGTGTAAGTAGTCATAATAGCATCGTCAGCCAACGCCATGTAACTGATCGGCACAGCAAGCTGCGGTGCATAGCTGGTGAGGATCGAATATGAAGCACGGGCAGGATTATGCAAGTTTTGAATCCTGTCGTTATCATCAAGGGCGACGATATAGATCCGATCCTGAATTTCAAACATCACGCGGTGATTGCGGATCGATAACCAGCCACCAAGGTCAAAGCCTGCGCCATCTGATTCGCATTCTAAGATTGAGCTGTTTGCCACGAGACTAGCTTCGTCGTGGAGAGCCTTTCGGAAATCAGGGCATATAAAAACACGGCCAGCGCGAGAGAAGCCCACGAAAAGATCGCCGTGCAACATTCCCGCTCCCCATTCATCCTCCCCATACCGGACGTGATTTGGGTCATCTGGTGGTGGCAGTGGGCCTTTGCCAACCTCAATTGGCGTCAAACGACCTTTTCGGAAAGTCCCAGGTAAGAGGGGTTGAGGTGTTGGGCCAAGTGCAGCACCTGATAGTGCTGCATCAGCTCGGGGAGGAAGAATGTGATATTTTTCCGTCAACTTCGATGGCTTCAATGTGCCTAGAAATGCACCAGACGCCTTATTGTAGGCAAAATAGCCTTTTGCTCCCATAGAATAAATCACAATGTCTTCGCTTTGGTCTAGATGACCGATGCCACCTCCCTCAATCTTTAAACGTGTGGTCAACGTGGGGGGTCGTGTTGTCATATCGTACACAAAGCCTTGACCCTCATTCGAGACAACACAGAGAGTCCAGTAGGACAATTGGAATCCTCTCGTCTGACAATCATGGTTCAAGATAGCGATGCGCCGGAACTCTCCACGCTTTGTGCCTTCTTGGTCTGTCTGCCAAACCTCGAGCGAATCTCCTTCACTATCAAACACGGCCATTCCATCCTGATACTCCAAGTGTGCGTGTTGGCGAACCCCATCTCCGTCGGTGTCCTCCGCCGAAGGCAGTTGCCAGAGGATACGGCCCGTATCCATATCAGTGACGTTCAATCCGCCAGCATGGGAGGTGGAAACAAAAAAGCGGCGTTTGAAGTCAGCACGGAATCGCCAAACAGCACCGTTGCCGATTTGTAGCACCGATTCCTGGCTGACTGGATCCGTCTTGGCCCAATTGCGTGCCAGCCGTGTCTGGCGTTTGCACAGGTCTTTCCATGATTTTGTGCCCTCGAATACTTTGGCAAAACTATGGGCATCGGAGAGGAAGGAGAAATCCCGGCTACCTCCAAGTGGCTGGGTGGTTTTGGCTTCGGAGGTGTAAATAGCTTCTTGGTGGGTGACGTCGATAAATTGATGCCAAGCCTTTGAGGTAGCGGTCAGGGATGCAAGGCCGGAGATGGGTGTGAAATGCAAGATTTGCAGGACAATCTCCGGGGGCAGGACGGTCAGAGGGTCCACCCCAAGTGAGATGGCAGTCATATTTTCAAAAATTAAGCAACACAAGATTGTTGCAAAAAGCAAATTAGAGAGGTGGGGGGCTCACAATATTTTGTCGTTCTCCACTGTATTCGATGACGTAGCCGTTCCCAAATCTGTAGATAGGCACAATAGTCTCCAGGGGAACCTTAGAAGTTCTGCCCTAATTTTAAGCTTAATTTATTTGATATGCCCACGTGGGCAATCTTCAATCTGCTTGCCCCCAGATCCTCCAATTATTATTAGATCTTTCCGAACCGAACCTCCGCTGCAATGCCTGCCTTATCTCAAGGTCCCTCATTCGCTCTTCCATGTCCCGAACAAACTCCTGCCTGTCTCTATAGCGTTTTCTAAATTCCTTCACAACAATCGGAATAACCTCCCATCCGACAAAGAGCAACAGACTAGCAAACAAAGCAAACAGCTGATCTTCTTCGTTAATTGATTGTGGGGCACATGGCATGAAGAAACATGAATGTGATGCTTTGACACTGCGAGTCACATAAGCCACAAAAGCATACCAACCACTCGCACATCCAACTGCAATAAACCAGAACAACGGAGCTGCAAGAAAGAGTAACACAAGGAGAAATGGAGCCAGTGGTAATAGCCCGATGCACCACCTTGAATCTTCTGTGACATCGATCATGATAATCGAGATTGACACCATAAATAATGACACGCAAGCCAAAAGGCGCGCCACCTTAACCACCATTCTTGATGCAATCACTTTGCTAAATACAGGTCTCAACAGTCTGTTCCATGCTCGTCTCAGCAGTCCAGTGACCACACTAGGTAACAATGGTATGTCCATATAACTGAGCAGCCATACAGAGAATGGCATGATATAATATGGAGTGCCCGTGGCGACAGCCAAATTAAGGTCATAAGCACCACTGTGCATTCCATACCAATATAGTGCAGGCACGTTCATTGTTCTGATAAGAGCAACTGAGTGCATGAGCGCGAGAGAAGGCAGCAGCATTCCGAGGAGGAGTGTCCACAACCGATGGCGTTGGGTCTTTGGGTTGTCAAATAACATCATTGTAAGGAAATATTGCACGGAGCCATGGAATGTTCCCCAAAATGTGACATTAAACGCTGCCCCGATGGAACCTTTCAGGCTGTCCAAATCTGCAGCGTAGGTCAAGGAGTCGCTTGGGATACTTTGAGCTATGCGGACTCCACGAAAAAGGCCAACCGCAGCCCAGTTGGTGCCTAGCAGAAATAGCCATGTATTTGGATCAAATATCTCTTCTGAGACTCGAATGAGTCGCCACCACGATGCCACGATTGAGAGGAACCACCCTGCCCAACTTCCTGGTCCATAGAACCCGCTCACATTTCCGATGCCAAGGACATCAGGTGGTTTAGGTATGACTTCTAGATAAACCAAGGGTCCACTATCATAATGTTGCGTGCCAGGCGAGGGAACGGCATCGGATGAGGAGCTTGTCTTGTCGGTTGATGGTGTAGATATCGTGCCATCAGAGGCTAAGGGGCTAGTGGTATAGCTTTGTTCGCCATGAATAACTGATGTTGGATCTGAACCTGGTTCTTCTCTTGTTTGAACCACAAGCCCGCCTGTTGTGGATATGGAGAGGAAAAACAACAATGTAACCCTCCAAATCATCGCATGTGCAAGCAAAATACCGAGGGTTTGTGACTATTCTTGAGGAGAGCCGCCTCAACCTTTTGTTCTTTCAACTGCGAAAGTCCGATGGTGGCAGTGATATGAGAAATGGAATTCTAGTCTTAGTCAGGACGTCTCGTATAATCGGGCTGTGAACAGGCATGTCAGCAGACTTCAGCCACCAACTAGCGCCGTGGCGTCAACGATATTCAACAGAATAATATCTTTTCTTTTTCGGCATTATTAACCATTGTTGTATGATGCCTACGTACCGGATTTCATATGCCAAGTCGTGGCTTCCCTGTTCCGTTTTCGTGCTTAGCCCCTCGCCACTTTTGCCTACTGAGTAGAACGAGTGCAGCGATGGTGGAAAAAAAGAAGGAAAGAACAAAAGGTCTTAGCACATCCCTTTACGTACTTACTGGTGTAGCGACGCGCCGCGTGTCGAGTGAAGGAAGACACATTGCTTTTTCTGATACCCCTTATGTCTATTGACTCAATGGACAGGCCGTGGCAGTCGACCGAACTCACTACTATGGGGTGCACGGACGAAAAGCGTGAAATGGTCGATCATTCATAACAGATTACTACAGTAGGGTATTCAAAAAAAATCTAAAATGTTATCAGATAAGAAACCAGGGTGCGAAAAGAATAGGTCCTCTGGCAGATCTCCAACGGAGATGTTTGTGTCCGAGACCAAACCCGGATGTTCGACAAAATCAACGGCCGAAGGATCAGGGAAATTCCACGGCGGAGAGCAATGATGCATGTTTGATGAAGGCTCATCAGAACATGTTGATAACGGTTGTCGTACGTCATCAGCGCGGTTCAACTGCTGTGGAGTCACAGCAGGAAATGCACGGGAGTATTGATGAGCAAGGGTTGATGCAGGAGCACGGTACATAAATAGCTGTCGCCTCCTGGCTTGGATAGCTCGCTCTTTAAGCTGGGAGACACTTAACCAAATCTCCTTCTGGGCGCATGCGTCTTGCGACTCCCACAGGGGGAAGGCATCATCTATTGCGCGCCAAGCACGGTCCACATCAGTACACAAGGGACGGAGACAGAGCTCCGCCAGGACAAATGAAAGTGCACGCCATTGATTATTGTTTTTGAACATCCAAGTCCAATTGCCAAGGGTTTTCTGGCTGGTCTCTAGGATAACCGAGAGCTCGATTATATCGATTGACGTCGCAAAGATAAATTCACGAACGTCTGCTTTGAGCCCCGTGCTTGACATATCTCCGGACGTCACCGTGTCGTAGACGAAAACTCGCAATTTAGCGAGCACTAGCCAGGAGATGGTAGCACAAAGCCAATGGACGGTGGCTGTTGTGTTAGAATATTGTAGATATTTTTCGCGCAAGCGATGCTCCAGGCAAATAACATGCTGCTGGCGACTCGCCAACAAATCTTTGGTAGAAGAATCGGGATTTGTGAATGGAGAGTATTTTAGGAGACGATAGGTAGCCGTTATTTCGAACCGGATCAGGGAAAAAGTCATATCTGTATAACCCGCCCGTGCACATGGTAGCTCTTCGGCCCCGGGGATCAGGTCTTCATCGTTGATGTTTAGGGGAAATCTAGTATCAAACTGTCCGTCATGGATCAAAGGCTCAGTGTGATGATCCTCCGCAGATTGCACATCCAGCGCCAGGATATGCCACCAGATTCGACGGGACATCTCAGCATTCATGGGAGATGTGGCAGATAAAGCTCTTTCTCTATGAAGCTCTAATCGTTGCGCGAGTCGCAGTATGACTGCTGTCATGGTCCAGACAAAATGTCCTTTATCATGCCGTCGAATAGAAATCAGATACAAGAGAGCAGATTGAAGCAAGGTAAAGTCACGAGAGTTAAAAAAATCAGCCTCAGAGAGCGCTTGCTCGACAGCCAACCGATACCGACCGATTGCTGACTCTTGCTGTTCGCCAAGTTTGTCGAAACACTGAGAGGGTGTCATGCTCATGATCGCGGATAGATATACGGCGCAAACCAGTGTCCTGTCTGACCCCTCAAGAGTGTCCTTCGAGTCGTCCAATTGCACCAGAATATTTTTCAGACTTTGCCGATGTATTATGGTAACAAGGGGAGCCACGTTCTCCAGATAGCTTTGCCAAATTGCCTGCCGCTGGAGGGTGTTGGGGCAAATAAATGGCAGGCTATGAGCTATCACTTTAGGGCCAAAAAGTAGCGTACTATTCATGCCATGCACTTCTAGGTCGATGGAACCAGCTCGTCCTTGATTATTATCCGGGGAGGTACCAGCCAGATCTTCCGGAATCCCTGTGGCGTTTGTGTCGGTGGACCTTCTTCGTACCCCGTGTGAGGATGAAGTTGCCAGCGGGGTAGGTGAGTTATCACGAAGTCTTAAATTTTCACTGAGATCGAAGATTGCTTGCTCTAGCCGGCGCATTCTCTCAGTCAACTCTGGAGTCTGGCTGTGTCTTTTCTGTTGTAAATTTCGCGCAGGGCGTGGAAAAGTGCACTCCACATTGCCTTTGATGCAGTTTGAACACGGGTATTGCCGGCTACAACGAATTTTCTTCTGTCGACAGTAAATGCAGCTCAACGATTTCAACTTTACAGCTCGGGAGGACACCCCTCGTTGGTGCGCCTCAGCACCTCCTGAAACTTGGGCCTCCATTTCAAAAAGCCAAGTTGAGCTTGGTATCAATTAGAGGGTATGGATTTGTGTTTGACATGCACAATGTGTTATATTAGATATGTTGAATATGAGTTGAGTGTGAAAGACCCAAAGCAAATTGCTGCGGAGCCCAAAGCTCGGAGCTCGGAGCCCGGACAGCGCGAAGTCCGGACAGTGCGAAGTCCGGGAGAGTACCCACAAATCTTTCACAATAGCTCCTAGCCCGAATGGGCCGACAATAACGTCCTGTTCTTCTTCTGGACTTCGGGCTTTCCCAGTACCGAGCTACAATTCAACAGCTATGTAGGCGAAGATAAAAGATGCCGTCTGCGCAACAAGATATTCTCACAAAAATCATCGCAAAAACAAAGTCTATCACCAAAGTATGCTCCAAGTTATAGTGTATGAAGTATTATATTCTAATCAGTTACTTCAGTTACTTCAGTTTACCATCATACAACTCTCACGAAATGGCGCCTATTCACAAACCCCTCGACCGCTCCACCACCTTCGAGGCCATGCTTTCTGTCAGCCCTGCCGTCGGTCCTATCGTTCTTCTTAATGTCATCTCGCTTCCCGCCGGGGCAGATAGGGAGTCATTTCTAAAGACTTGGACCCGTACCGCCGATGTTCTGAAAAGAGCGCCTGGTTGCATCTCTACTCAATTACACAGCGCTATTGGAGATGGCAACTTCATCGTCAACTACGCCGTTTGGGAGAACAATGAAGACTTGAAGAACGGCTTGGCTTTGCCTGAATTCAGGAAGATATGCGAGGACTTCCCGGAAGGCACTGAGTTCCGTGCATGCGTCATGCAGAAAGCTTCTATCCCTGGAGTTTGTGTGGGGCTGTAAGCTTTCTCTACCAAGAGCAAATCAGACAGGGAAATAAGAGTCAATGGTTGAGACTGGGAGGGAGATTAGTGCAAATTCAGTGAGGCGGGCCATCCTGCAGTAGCTAGCTTTTTTCGTCTCAGTCGCATTACAATGGGATGGACCGGAGACGAATCAACAATGACAGTGTCATTTAAACCCTCAAAATCTTGCTCATCTCCTCCAAAGAGTGTCCCTTCGTCTCTGGGTAGAAAAGATAGATCGTGAAGAGAATCACAACAAGTAAGCCAAGGTACACGAATTAATATCGCCATTCGATTGACTTGAGAGCAATGGGGTTGACGAAAATGTCGAAGAAGACAGCAAGCTGTGTGGACAATAGACCTATTGAAAGGCCACGAGCGCGCAAATTATACGACCAAATTTCGCAGATATAAGCGTAGAGCAATGGAGTAAAAGCAATGTCGAAAAACCCAGAGAAGATGAAAATAAATGGCACCACAGCAGTCCCTGTAGCTTTCATCCCTGTTGTTGCAAAAGCGGTTTCATCGTCTGAAAGAACGGTAGCTAGATTGGATCTTGTCGCCTTCGCTTGGTGTTTCTTGAAAGCCATTGTTGAGTTCAAGTCAAACAAATCAAAAATGCAACGGCAGCAGAGCCAAGGAGAAAATGGAGCCTTAAATCTGTACTGCTGGCGTAGCAGTTTCTAGCAGACGAATGTGCTGTTCTTCCATTTGATTGTGAAGAGAACCTCTCAAATTTATGATTGAAGAACGAGTTGGCCATCTCGACGAAGAAGGTTCAAGCCAACCATTGCGGAGGAAAATGCGGGGAATGGAAGAGCTAGGCCTTCTGTCCAATACTCCTTTTTCTAGAAAATTTTTATATCGGAATAAGGCTACCATCTGCAAGACCAATGGCCCACGAAAAGTTTATGGAAGCCATATGCTAAGGTTGAAAATATTTACTCCAAACATATAAATCAACTCCGCCCGTTAAACTTCTACATGGTTAGAGTTACCAGCACATAAATAGGAAAGGCAGTCCTGCACGAATAAGGAATCGAAATACTCTTATTCAAGGTTGGGTTTGTATTCGCATTCTGATGGACCTTGCCCTTCGCCGAATCCAACTTTCGCACAATATCATAGTGATCATCAGGATGCTGCGTATCTAGGTGGCCATATTCAAGATAGGTTTGCAATGGCACGGGCTTCATAGTAGGTCTGAAATCCCAGATTCCAAGCTTTGTTCAAGCGATGTCCAGTCTGTTATACCAAAGAAGTCGTGGAGCAGCTGGGAAGCCCGTCGTGAGCCAACTATTTCCGTGTAGTCCTGTGGTTCATCGGCGGGTGCTTTGGGGATAAGCGTGTTATTTGGTCGCAAATTCTGAAGGATTCCAATGATCTGAGCCCAATTCATGGGTGCTGCACATGCCCAAAGTCGCTCGGATTCCACCTCCATGTCTAGAGCTGCGATAACATGCAGCCTAGCAGTATCTTCAACATTCACATACCATTCTAGCAATCGTCAGCCATTTTTATCAGCAAAACTCAGGCAGCAGTAGCAGCAGCATCTTGATAACAGATGCCCTAATAAGGATGCATAAGAAAGCCTCAGGTCTCAGCTTACGGGGACCAAATTTCATGCATGATGTTTCCCCTGCCAATAATGACCGAGGGAAATTCATTGTGGAACCACCAATAATTGGGTGCAGAATTGTACCGAACTATAGCCATCGACCTTTTGTGAGTTTCCACGACCTAGATAAGCTGAACATGACATACACAGGGAGAGAAGAAACCTCATGTATGGTGTTTCGGAAAGTATACTTACATTCATGAAAGGAAGCACAGAATTAAAAGCATATGATGGCTCATTCAGTCTGACCCATTCCCACGCCTTACGCTCCGCCTCGGTCTTTGATGCAGTATAGACTAGGAAGGGCTTCAACTCGCCTGGAGTATCCGGGTCCCACGCCGCTCGGACTGATTCGTTGTTCCAGGTGTCTAGCATCGCATGAGTGTCAGCGCATGCTTCATCATATCTTGCGGGCTTGCAAACTTACCATTATCTACCACAATGCCCTTTTTACCAGGTTGGAGAGTGAAAGCTGCCGTGGTTGATGAAGTCAAAACAAACCTTCGGATTGACGGGTGATTTGCTGCTGTCTCTAGCAAGTTCAAGACATTTCCTACCGCCAGTGGAATGACCGTGTGAGGGTTTGGATTCATGGAAACATCAGAAGCCTGTTTTTGGGAGTCAGTTGATTCCGAATGATGAAAACAGGCATATTTAGGGCACACAAGGTGAATAACTGCTGAAACTCCTTGTAGGACTGGTTCAAGCGCATCCTTCGTAAAAGCTGGCAATAACATGGTCTGAAATCGACCTTCGCCATACTTCTTGGCGAAGAATTGTTCCAGCCATGGTTTTTCTGCTCGAATCGTTCCGCGAACGTTGTATCCCAACTGCAACAGCTGATTTACCACATGCGATGCGATATAGCCATTCGCCCCAGTGACAAGTATCAGAGATCCGCTTGCAATGACAGTCTTTCGTTTGAAAGGTTGACCTATGAAAGGAGAGGGTGTACCTTGAGTCATTATTGATCTGATGCTTAGGTTGTAAAGTGGCTAACCCAAAATCTTGTTGGATCATCTAAAGAGAGGTATTGATTGAAGGGGAAAATAAATGGAAGAGTCGGGAATCTGTTGTTCGGCGTTTTCGGGCTCCGTGGAAGTTCTAGCAAATAGAACTGACTTTCGCGCCAGGTTGTCTGAAAGGAGATAGTGGTTCACATCACAAGGTCTTTGGGTCTTGGAGCTTTCGGGTTATTTCCAGTCTCCGGGGGTTATTTCGGGGCGAAAAATCTAAATTTCGCGCTTGAGATCCGTCCGTGGATATAAAATCTCGGTCTTCGGGCTTGGACCATTGCCGTAATGCGAGCCTTTCTAGTCTCGAAACCACCTTGTTTTATTACAATAATCTTATACCCCTGGTTTCACGAGATTTTTAAGAAAGCTTACTATGCGAAAACAGCAAACTTGTTTGGACCTAGGATCTGCTAGTAGACCAGACATAAAACAGTCCGCTTGTATCAAAGTTGGGGGCGAGGGGGAGGGCTTCGATTAGCCTACAGACGAACCGATCTCGGGGAGAGGAAATTGTCCGCGGGCTCATAAGCTGACTGTGTCAACACGGCGGCTTGTCATGTTCATGGATGCATGTTAAGTGATTCACTTTTAAACACAACCACCGCACCAGGTCCATTAAGCAAAATTCCGATTCATAACTGCCAGGCTACAGTAAACTAACAGGGCGGTAAAAGCTTTAGGCATCTGGGATTTACCTACGTACTTGGTCTCCTCTACCACTTTGGCTTTCCATTTTCGCTTTAGTACTCAGTCCTTGCCGCTTTTTGCTCACTGAGCAGATCTGAGCGGTCCGATCTGCTATTCAACGCATGAAAAGCAGGGTACTTGATGTGGCATCTACTATATAGGGGTCAGGAGATAAGGAAGGGGAGAGTTGATTGCTACGAAGGTACGAACCGTATTTCTAGAAGTTGATGATCTGGAACCTTGTATTACAGAGATAGACCTTCAATACTTGGTCGCCCTAAAGCCCGTCACTTAGCGGGAAAATATGGTAGTGAATGTGAGCACTTCTATCAGGCTTCTTGAGGCTAGGAGAGTCAGCATATATTTTAGCATTATATTATAGTAACTCACTACTTGACTTCCTCCCGCACAATTGCATAGCAACTGGAAAGCCCCACCGGGAAGAGGAAATCAAATACGTAAAGTGATATAGGTAGTATTGACTGCACCACATTAATAGGACGAAGCAAACCCCCAAATTTGTCGGAAAAAACATTCTACGGTTATTATTCTGAATAAATAGACTGGGTGTTATTTATATAAGTTGCCAAGGTCTGCAATTCTGAAACGAAATTTTGATACTCCGTACTGTGCAGATGATGTCCCAATGCGGATAGGAGTGCGAGCGCTAGGATCTTCTTACTGCCATCCTTCGTATACAAAAACTTCGAAATCGTCCCCACTAAGCCTTGCGATAACTGCCAATCGCAACATTACCCCCATAAAAATTCGTGAAGGTATCGCAAAGCTATCTCAATATGGAGTGCTCCAAGGCTGCAGCCTGGGCCCTGGCTTACACTGGACGCTTAACCCGACTACCTCAGTGAGGTAAAGTAGGGTATAAAGATGGTTCACTCTCCCCAGGCCTTGCCTCAGAATCAATCACTCTTGCTTATTTGTGTATTCCATCGAACTATGTTTCTGATCTACAAAAAAATTAAGAAACGAAATGAGCGGAAACGCCTACATTCTGCAGCCTCAAATACGCCAGACAATGCAATCGAATTAAACACACCAGTTGATTTCCCACAGCTCGATGAAGGAAAGAAAAAGAAAATCTACTCCCCAGAAGAAGTTGCAGAGAAGAAACGAAAAAATGTCTACCGCTGGAAGATCATCCTGGGACTATTCAGTCCATACTGCCTACAAGCCCTAGATACAACCATCGTGGCCTCAGCTCTACCATTCATCGCAGAGGATTTTGGTACGTACCACACACAACAATCCCCAATGACCATCCTCATCCTCAACTAACCATTAACCACCCTACAGACCAAATCAACCAACTAAACTGGATAATCTCCGTCTTCAACCTCACATCAGCCGCCTTCCTCTTCTTCTGGGCCCAACTAACCGACCTCTTCGGCCGCCACATCATCCTCCAATCCGCAATCTTCATAATGATGATCGGCTCCGCAGTCTGCACAGGAGCCCCAACATCAGCATTCAGCGTCCTCCTCCTCGGTCGCGCACTACAAGGCGTCGGCGCCGCAGGTGTCAACATCTCAATCAGAACTATCCTTGCCGACCGCGTCTCCCTCTCCGAGTACGCAGTCAACTGGACGATATTTGCCCTCGTCTCTGGTATCGGATTTAGTATCGGTCCCGTCATCGGCGGGTATTTGACCCAGGCGTCGTGGCGCTGGTGTTTCGCGATTAATCTGCCTATTGCGGTTGTAGCAATGGTTATTGTGGTTCTTGTTTTGAGGACTGAGTTACAGGGTCCGCTGCCTATTCCTGAATTGGAAGAGAGTGGTGGTGTCTCAACTCGGTCTGGACGATTCCTCGCGAGAATCTCAACTATTGACTACGGTGGCCAGATGCTCTTTCTTTGGGGATTTGGTCTTCTTATCCTTGCTTTAACATGGGCGGGTGGTACCTACTCCTGGAAATCCGTTGCTGTCCTAGCGCCGCTGGTGATCGGTGGGATTCTGACGATTGCTTGGGCCGTCTATGAGCGGTGTATGGTGCCTGGCTCGTTGATGGCACGGGTCCTCCCGCGCCAAAAGGCAATGGTGCCGTGGGAATTACTAAGACAGCGTGATATTGGGTTATTGTTCCTGATTAATTTCTCGGTCGGCATAGCCATGTTTGCTGTTATGTATTTCATGGATATATACTTTACGCTGGTAGAAGGGAGGAGTTCTAGCGATGCCGGTATCGCACTGCTGTATTTCCTTCCTGGTTTAGGTGGTATGTATATCTCTACCTACTTACTATTTACTATATCAAACAAAACTTGACTAACTTAAACAGCCGGACTATACATGGCGATGTTCTCCTCAAACGTCTGGCCCCGACAAACCTTCCCAGCCCTTTTCTTTGGCAGTATAACCTCAGCAGTAGGAATGACCGTGTTGGCATGGGGCGTGCATGCAGGTAAAACAAGCGTTATCTACGGTATGATGGCGCTAGTTGGACACGGAGTCGGGATGCGAATGAACCCGGCGTCTATGCACGGGTTGGCGTATTTCCCTACAATGACTGCGCAGATCTCATGTCTTGCTTCTTTTGCGGTTCCATTTGGAGGTTTGCTGGGGTTGACCATTATGTCGACGGTTTTTACGAATAAGAGTGGCGTTGGACAGCGGGATGCTAAGGGTGGTGTTATGTGGGCTTTTATTGCTATGATGCCGGTTATGTGGTTGTCTGTTTTGCTTACTACTTTCCTTGGGAATGTGTGGATTTTGAAGGAAGGGGGTCATGAGGTTGTTAATATGCCTTATCTTTGGGGGTTAATCTTTGGGAAGGAGATTGTGAGGGAGAGGAGGGACCGGGGGGAGGAGGTCGGGGTTAGTGAGGGAACTGTTTAGAGAGACCATATATACCCGTAGACAGGACTTGTGACTTTAATAATTCTCGACTGATATAGGGAAATTGTAAGCCCTAGAATATAGAATAATAAAGATATTTATTCAAATATCCCCAACACCTTGGAGTTAGACATGATACAATACACAATAGAAAAGGCTGCTAAAGTACTCATCTCCAACCAATTAAGTTGCATTCAACTGTATTAATATAACCCAAAAGCACCGAAATTCACTAATGAAACAACATCGCATAATAGAATATAGAAATCACCCTCGTCGACCCAAATCGACTCGTACCGAATCATATCTGCTCCCCTCCCTGATACCGAACTAAGATTCTGGCACCCAAATGGCAGCCCATTTCCCCTTCATCTTTGGGTTATTCCACTTATCCCCCTGGACCGCCTTTGCACTCTCCAAACTGCCCCAACCCCACTTAATCAAACCCTGGGGACTCCGCGGAATGTTCTGTACCGCGATCGCTCCTGTTTGCGACTTGGATACAAAGATTGAGTACTCGGCGATCTTGCTCATAGCCTGCTGGACCATTGCATGCAAGATGACATTGCTGGTAATCCGTCCGGACTGATGGTAGCCTTGATAGTGCACATATGTTGTTATAACGGTTGTGGAGGTCTTGGACTATCGTACCGTATCATGCTTAGTATGATCTCGCCCCGTACAGCTCTTTCCGATTTCAACTATTATTTGAAAACTGGGGAGTATTTTTTATTACCTTCCTCGGGGTGTTCTCTTGCACTTGGAGGTTGATCCATCCGATCTGGTAGGGGTCAGAGTTGAAGTATCCCTGATAGTCGATGCGGAAATCGTCGTTTTTCAGGAGGGTTGCGCCTCCATTCTTGGTGGCCGGTAGCATTAAGACATTGTCTTTTCGCTCCAACATCAAGAGCCAGTCTATTAATTCTGTGTGCTTGGCTGAAGGGTAGTCTGCCCCGTTGCGTTTGATCAGGGTGGGGGTATCCCGGACATTGCTTTGGGCCATTATGGATGGAATAGAGTTGGGATGATGAGATAGTGGGATTAACAGGTATTGTTTAAGTTGAATGAGAAGGCTTAGAGGGGTTAAAAGGCTGGTATTTATACAAAGATCATGCCATAGCACATAATACAACCCATGAGCCGACGACTCTAGGTGAGGCTGATTATTTAGTTACTTCGCCCCAACAGCCTAATCCCCGGGGGGCTAGTCCCCGGGGACTCGGGGACTGGGCCTCACGCGGGGTTCAGTTGAGAACGCCGAGACCCGCACGCCCGGGCAAAACCTTTTGACTTGCCTAATTAGGCAGAAGACATACATTTAGTTTCACCTCTATAGGGCTATATGCTTTAGTAGGGCCCTATTAGGATTAGTGAATTTAGGGACTCTAGTTTCTATTCGATGATGTTGAAATTTCGGGTCTCAGCGTTTTGTGAGTCTCAGCTGCTAAGCCTCATGGGTCAGTGCAGACTTCATTTACTATTTTAAACATCTTATTCCTTAATATTTAAACAATCTTTAGCTTCCGCGCTTTTATCTCCCGTATGATATAAAAGAGTAGGCAGCCGCTATCTTAGCTTTGGTACCCCTCTATTAGCCACGTTCTAATCCGTTTATAAGGGCCAATTTCGAAGCCACGTCTTTATCAATTAGGCTTAAAAAAAATTAAAGGTCGATCTATTTTACTTCGTTCTATACGCCTATATCTAGAACGGTAAGATCGAACGAATTATACGTATATAAAAGCGAGCGCGAGTAATTTTTGAAAATACCGATCTTCCCCAACGCCTATAGCTAGAGATTATATAGATATATTCAAATACTAAACTCAAGCCGATTTCCAGCAAAATCCCGAGCGAAGAACCGTGTGGGATATTCTTTCCCTTTAGAGCCTACAGCGGTAATCAGCAAATAGTCATACGCAGTATATATCCAAGGAAACTCTTACCAGAGTTTACATCTCCGGGCTTATCGGCAGCCATTGGGGCTGCGGCACCACCACGCACATGGTGGTCATAGATGCTTGCTTTGAGCTCCTCCAGTTCCTCAGGAGAAGACAGCTTGAAGCATGGGTGTCGGTTAGCTTTGGGATCAGTCGCGCCGGCGCTAATATGCACTTGTTGTCCGCTGGAGCCGATATCGAACCTGTTAACAATATTAGAGATGTGTGTTCTTTTTGAAAGATAGCGCGCTTCAATACCATAGAATTGTTCCCTTCTGGAGCTCCGGTACCGGCGCTGAGGTGAGTCCGAGGGTGGTCCCGTAGAACTCCTCGGCTTGGGCTAATGTGCCCTGAGGGATTGGGAGGTTGATGTGGGCGATTCCGGAAATCATGATGTATGGTAAGAGGATATGTATGTGTGATTGTGGTTGAGCGAGACGAGTTGGTATATATTCAAGACCTCGCGGGAATCAGTTTCCGTGTCGGATGAGAGATGAGTCAAGGAACAAATAGTATGACGACGGTTACTACACAATGTGGAGGTTAGGCTTGGTAGTTTAGTGAACAGATAAGATATCCAGTAAATCTCAGGAAAATTATCCGACGAATTCCATGTCGCAATCCTCCAGACTAAATATGCCCCTCATAAGAGGGGCAGAGAGCTAACGTCGGCTCCAGCCGAAGGTCGGGAAGTTTGGCATTCATTCCCCGATTTCAATATTTAAGGCATACTCCTAGCCATCCGAGTCTTTGTGTTTATTATTGAAGAAATTCTCCAGGCCATCCTCGTCTAATGGAAACCGCCAAGGTCACTTGTGTGTGCAGTCTATGTTTCACAGACATGGATGACGATGAAGTGTGGAGCAGTCCGGTAGAACCGGATGCTTTCCAGTTGGTCTGAGGCGATATTTCCGAAACTCGAGATTTTTCACAATAACAGCTTGAAGAATATACATGGGTGGATATGCTGTTGTGACAGTCCCCTTTCTGAGTGTGTGGGTACCGGATAAGATATTGGCACGGCCATTTAGATGGAATATTATCATTGAAAGCAAGTCTCATGAGATTCATGGCGGCCCATTTCGAGCAAAATTGTCATCAATGATCATATCTGCCGCTTTTTCGGCAATCGCATATACAGTGGCTTGGATGTGTGCCCCAACCTGCAATGGCATGATGCTAGCATCTACAACCCGCAGAGCATGCACTCCATGCACCTGTAGCATATCATTCACAACTCCAGCATTGATGCCATCTGCTTCACCCATAGCGCAAGTTCCAACTGCTGCATGAATTATTAGTAATTTACTAAGTGAATCTTGGAAGGAGAACATACGATGCCAATCGGTGACGGTATAATTTGAGACAAACTCATCGTATACTTCGTCCTCGGTCTTTGTCCCATTGGTAGGAGGAGGAAAGACTCGACTGCGAATGAGTTTGGCCAAAGGCTCGGTTTGACAAATTCGATCTCCCCACCTGAGTGCTTTAGCCATGACCTTCTTGTCAATCTCGCCAGGTCCTAGAAAGTATCGCGGATCAATCACGGGCTTCTCATCAATCGTGGCCTTTTCATAATTGGTCTCGCTCATAGGAGGTATATGGATAGATCCACGGGAGAAAGGGTACTGTAGCATTTGCAGCATTGTGGCATATTTCTTTCCTGGCTCAGAAACAAAATATGGGCTCCAGTTACCCAAATCGAAGAGATACTCAACTTGACCACGCGCTTGACCGGACTCGAATTGACTGGCTAAAAGAGCGTCATGTGTACGTCCTGTGTTTTGTGCGACTTCCTTAGCTTGAGTGTGTAGTTCGTCGCATTCCTCCGGCGATAGGATCTTTGAAAGCGGACAGTATGCCACAGAACAGGGCATCACAGTCCAAGGTCCGGCCTTGGAAGCGTAATAGGCGCGGTCTGCAGCTTCGCGTTGGATTGGGTCTTTGAGAATGACATCACGTGTGGGAATCGTGGAGGGTATTTCGAAGATGGTGGCAGTCACTTCTAAACATCAGTCAAGATTATAAGCAGCACCGTTCATATTTCATACTTATATGCTCCTGCAGATTCTCTCCTACGTGGGGATTGTGGAATTTTGTCTCAATTCCAGCAGCTTTCAACACGTCCTGGTTTCCAATGCCGGATAGTTCCAGAAGTTGTGGTGATTGCACGCTGCCGGCACAGACAATTACCTCTTCGTACGCTTTGATGTTTGCTTCCAGTCCGTTCCAGCGTACTCGTGCCCCTGTTGCGTACCACTCATCATCTTCGAAATTAAAGAGGATTTCCATGGCAGTTGCTTCAGTCAGTATATGCAAATTGGGGCGCTTCGCAATGGGATGGTAATATGCAGAGGCAGAGTAGCTGCGTTCCTGACTATCTGGATCAATTGTGCAGACCATATTCCAGACGCCTGTATTATCACCTGCCAGACTATCCCGTGTAGATGGAACACCAAGGCTATTCAACGTCTCATGCCAATATTGGTGTGTAGGGCCATACTGCTTGGCATGGCTTGTATGTAGAGGGCCCTTCGTTCCATTCACCTCGGGATCATAGGAAGAATGATAATATTTTTGATGAGCGGCACTTGGTGGGTGGAAACTCTCGCTGCGGCGGAAAAAGGGCCTGTAAGGAATTCAGGATTCCACAGATCAGCAGGTGATATTCAAGATAGAGCGCAAATATCAGCAAACTGGTCAACTCATACAGTAGATCGTCCCATCCCCACCCTTTATTTCCCAGTTCCGCCCAAGCATCATAATCTTTGCGATGACCGCGATTCCAAGCCATAAGATTGAGCGCACTCGTGCCGCCTAATATACGACCTCGTGGCCATGGCAGTGATCTTCCTCCCAGGCCTGGCTGTGGGGTAGTTTTAAATTTCCAATCGTATTTCGAACCGATAGTTTCGCCATACCGACCAGGAACATTGATCGCGCCGTTATCACCTGTGTTTAAGACCGATGGGCCGGCTTCGATGACTCCCACATGGAACCAAGGGTGCTCGGTGAGTCGTGCAGCAACAGCTAGACCTGCGGTACCTCCGCCTATAATCAAATAATCGAGATCGAGAGCGGCGAACTCTTGGAGGGTCTCGTTACCCATGGCCGATGAGGGGTTTGGGGAGAAAATCAAATCAAAACTCGTAATTGGGCTGCTTTGCGCTCAGCCTCGGAATTCCAAGCTACGGGACATTTGGTAAATCGATGCAGGGTCGTCGCTTGTACTTGCTTGTACCTGCGGGGTACAGCAAAACCCACCTTTGGCCACAACCTCCCATATTACTTAGGTATGTAGTCTACGTATGTAGGTATGACTTCAGTATCCATTGTCAGCCTCAGCCTCAGCCTCAGAGAACCAGACAAAATAGTTCCTATATACTTCTACCTTCCTTTACCTAGGTAACCACACTGGGCAACTTGATACCAGTAGTAAATTTCTATAACAAGCACCTGCCTTGTATCTTCTAATATCTTCTTATATTAAATATCCACAGAGATACTACAACTACAACTACGGAGTACGAAGTACGCATTTAACAAAACACAGAGAAGCTAATTGCTAAGCAGCCCTGGTGGCCCGGGTAAATGGGGCCAAAACGGACGAATTGGAGTTGATACACAAGCCTGTTGCCTAGCCCCACCTGATACTTCGACATGTCATACAACAGACAACTGACTACGGAGTAGAAGTCATCTCCTTCAATCACCAACACCCTCAAAATATACCATATCTACAATGGGCAATTCAAACCCGATAGAACCAGCACCCGCCTACGAAGACCTATTCCACGAGCGCGGCTCAAGCTCACGGAATGGCGTAAGCAAATTCCCCCAGAAGGGATGATCCAGTCCCATCAACATACTAATCAATCTAAATGAATATGCAGTATAGCATGGTCGGTCAAACAGACACCATCGAGGCAAACCGCGACGTGGAACACGGTCACCACCTCCATGACGTCTCTGTCCCCATCCCCGCCCCTATCGCAGTGACAGTGGCCGATGAGTCGGTTCCACACATCCACTGTGCGGAATGTGATCGGCAACGGGAGCGCAGAGAGAGCAGGGAGTTTTCTCAGAGAGCGTGTGGCATGGTTGCTAAGACGTTTATCTTGATCTTCTTGTTCATGATGATATTGGGGATTGTTATTGTTGGGGCTTGGAAGGATGTTCGTTTGAAGAAGTTACATGGTTAGATTGATTGTATGTATTCTATGTGAAGGTTATGATATTTATACCAAATTGGAGTATACGAGGCAGAGCCTGGAATCATTGTTATTGATATCCTAGAATAAATGAATACAATCCTCATGCCAAGGCCTTTCTTATTAGTTTCTTGTTAGTTCATCGTGAGCCATTATAGTAAGCTCCACCTTATGGCCCCCGATGAACAGCCAAGTCCCCGCCTCAGCCCAAGCCAACGCCAACATTTAACATCACCTCTACTCTGTAGTACTATTTCGTATGCGCATCGCATAAATCAATTCCCAGGTAAACCTAAATCTTCCTTGTGACCCATATTCGACCTATGACGGGTTCTACTTGCCCTAACTCTTCTAAGCTATAACCAAAAACTAACAGACATTCGGTTAGCAGGTATCAGATCAGATTCAGCGACCAAAATGTTTGCCTGGCTCAATCGCCTTTTTGCCAAATCAGAGCCTACTAAACCAGCCGAAGAGCCTAAACATAGAGGCAAGTCGCACAGCCGATCACATAGCAAACGGGTTCGAGAACGAGAACGCGATCTGCGACGAGAGTGGACGGGGCAGAAGGGTGGATGGAAGAAATTTTATAGTAGGGGAGGGTTTGGGGGTGTTTGTGGAGGGTGAAGCTCTTATATACCATACCTCCCATGACTGGACATATCGCATAGCTTTGCTATCTACCGTTTACTGTTTGTTTACTTCGCTATTTTCGATTATCTATGGGGAGAAGGTCATCTTATTGAATAATGTATTGAATATTAAGATTGAATATCAACACTATAGTATATAAAATGATCCAAAAAATCAAACAAAATTAAAAACACCATGCAATCTGCCACAAAATGTCAAATGAAAAAAAATTAAAAAAACAAGAGAAAAACATTGAGCCATCAAGTCATAATAGATGATTCTGTGGAAAACCCATGCAAAGCAATCTAAGCAGAACCAAGGTACTTAAGCACATTCTCACGTTCCTCAACAGGCAACATGGAAAGCACCTGCTGCACACCACGGAGACCACCCTCCTTGTTGCCAATAAGCAACTGAGCAACTTCAGATGCAACGCCCTCAGTGCGCAGCGATTCAACCTTGCTCTGAACAACCTTCTTGTTCTCCTCATACCAAGTAGCAACCTTGTGGTCATCGTGCTCGAGCTCCTCGTTCAGCAGACCAGTCCAGGCGTGCAGGGTGCGCAGGTGCGCAGCACGGAGGGACTCGCCGAAAGCGTCGGCGCCGGGGGCAGGGGGCGCGGAGGCGGCAACCATGCGCTTGATGATGGTCTCTTCGCTGAGACGGCGGCGAAGACGCCAGTAGAAGAAGCGACGGGAGTTGACCCACTGCAGAGGCTTGCGGATGGTGTCCTTGGCTTGCATGCGGCCAGCACGATCGTGCAGGTCGGCGAATTGAAGCGCAATCTGCATGTACACGGGCAGGAGCTGCTCCTCGCGGGTAGCCATCTTCGCCTTGACTTCGCTGAGTTGTTCCTTGGTAAGGGAGGGGTCGACCAGGGAGCGGCGGAGCTCGCCGTAGGTCGCGTCCAGGCGGGCCATGGTGTCCAGCTGCTTCTCACGGCGGTACTTGATGTTCACCATACCCTCGGGCTCGAGGACACCACCGCGGGACTCTTCGTCGGCGTACATCTCCATCTGGTCGGGGTTGATGGTGGGGTCAACGACGACCCAAGATCCACCACGGAGCTCACCGTGGGGAGGAATGTACACGAAGATGGGCTGCTCGTACTTGACGAGAGCATCGACAATGTACGAACCGTACTTCAGGACCTCGTTGTACATATCACGCTGGCCACCGGAGAATCCTCTCCAGTTAGCCAGGATCATGACGGGCAGCTGCTCACCGTTGTTGAAGTCGCGCAGAGCCTGGGCGGTCTTGTAGGCCGAGTTGGGGTACCAGACACCACCAGCCTCGGTGGAGATCATCTCCATAGAGTCGGGGTTAGCGGGATCGGCAGGGGTGACATTCTCCACCGAGCGGGTCTCGACGGCGATCACACCCATGGGGATACCACCAAGACGGGCACGACCGACAACAACGGTGCGAGCCCAGCCACCAAGGGCCTCCTCGAAGGAGCCCTTGTCGAACAGACCAGGAAGGAAGCCGTCGACGTCCTCCTTACCGCTGATGAGCCATCTGACATCATAGGGCTGCTTGGCGGGAGGGAAGTAGGCAACGTCGCGGTCCCAGCTATCCGACCAGGGGCGGATGGGGATAGGAGCATTCTTCTTGTCGGGGACGAAGGACATCCACTCAACAATCTTCTCAACACCTTCGAAGTCATCGTTGGCGGTCATGTGAGAAACACCGTTCTTGTACATGATCTGAGTGCCACCAAGCTGAAGGTTGGAGGTGTAAACCTCGCGACCGAGCAGCTTGTTGATGGCAGGGGCACCAGTGAGGATGATGGGCTGGCCCTCAACCTGGATGGCACGCTGGCCGAGACGCACAAGGTAAGCACCAATACCGACAGAGCGGCAGGTAACGAGAGTGATGGTGAAGATGTCCTCGTAAGCCTTGGAGGTGGCACCGGCAATGAGACCGGAACCCTTCAGACACTCGACACCAAGACCGTCCTTAGCACCAATGACGGTGGTGATCTTGTGGCGCTCCTCGCCCTCATCGTTGATGAGCTCGGTGATGACCTCCTTCTTTTTGCTGGCATCAAAGCGCTTCTTAACCTCGGGAGTGAGGTAAAGGTACTTGAAGCCAGCCTCGGGCTTCTCCGGGTTGTTCCAGGCAACCGAGAAGTAGGGGATAATCTCATCGGCAACACCGATGCGGGCACCGGAGTTGGCAGACAAGTAGATGCGGGGAATACCCAACTTGCGAGCAAGCTCGGTACACTTGTGGAAGAACTTGTCTTCCTGAGGACCGAAGGAACCAATCTGGAAGGTGATATCGTTGGCGACAATGATGAAACGTCTGCCGCGGGGGTACTCGGGAGTACGGGCAGTGATGATCCAACCAACCATACCGTGAGTGTTGGTACCAGGCTCACGAGACACCTCAACAAGGTTGTCGGTGTCATCCAAGACCAGCTCGCTGTAGTCAATACACTCTCCAACAGGAGGGCGCTTCTCGTACAAGGAAGGAATCTTCTCGGCAATCTTGGTCCAGCTGTTCTGGAAGGCCTGGCGGAAAAGCTCGGGGAAATCGTACACGTACTGGGTTCCCATCAAGTGAGCCTTGTAACGCTTGGGCTGCAGCCACTCCTTGGTAGGGTACGGGGTGGCGACAGGGCGCAGATGCATAGAGCCCAGCTTGGCGGTACCACCAATGCTCTGGAAGATCCACTCGCCCTTCTCGGACTTGCGCTCGATGTACAGCTCGACGTTGATAATGAAACCATAGGTGTTGCTGATGATAACACGCAGGGGGTAGGGCATACCGGTAGTGGGGTCGGTGCAAAGAATGCGGATCTCTGCGCCAGTGACACGGAGGCGCCACAGGCGGCGGCCGAAGCGATCGAGGAAACCGGCCAGGGCTTGCTCGACATCGACTGGCTGGAGGTTGAAGACAGGGGAGAAGTTGATGAAGATGTGGTTCAGATCAGAGTTGTTGTTGCCAATGATCTCCAGGGCGTCAAGGATATCGTTCATGAGACGATCAGCCTCCGAGATCAGGTACTCGGCGGTGGGGATATCGTCACGCAGACGGCCGGGACGAACCACGGCACGAATGAAGTAGCGCTTGTCGATAGCCTTGTCGTTCTCGGGGCCCTTGCCAATAGCCTCGTAGACGTGGATATTGCGGTTCTCGGTGAAGACGGGCTTGATGTTGAACTTGGAAAGACGGCCAAGCTCCAGCTGGAAGGCAAGAGCGGGCTCGCTGTGACGGATACTCAGATCCTCCTCGTAGTTGGGACCACGGAAAGTGAAGTAACCGGGATAGACACCTTGCTTGCCGCAGATGAAGGTAACGCGGCGAATGCGGCGAGCGAGGAGCTCATCCTTGTTGTCGGCGAGCAGCTGCTTCATCTGTTCAACAAGCTCCGAATCTTCCATGTCCTCGATATCGCGGATGGCAATGTTGCATACTCCAGTGAGCTCGCTGTCGCTCACGGGCTTAGTGGCGGGGCGACGCTTGCCCTCGAGGCTAGCAATGAGACCCTGCTCGCTGGGACGCTTGGCGTTGGAGCCACCGAGAGGGAAGACCTCAAGAGCCTTAGAGAGGAACTCCTCAGCATCCTCCAAGTATTGCACGGGGATGATAACACCCTTGCGGACAGGGTCACTTGCAGCGTCGCTCACGAAGAGGGACATGTCACCGATGGAGTTGATCCGCTTGAAGGGGTTGATCTCCGCAATGGGAGTGCCCGGGGCAGAGGGCTGGGTGGAGTTAAGAACACCGAACTCACGGTGGCCGAGCTTTCCAAGGGTGAAGTCCCAAGACAGGAAGGGCTGCTCAGTGGAGGCGTTGTATTCGATGCCCTTGAGAGTGTATGCACGGTAGGCGCGGCGAACATAGACTTCCAGGGAGGCGAGGGTAACCCAGGGGTCAGCATGGACGAAGAAGCGAGGAAGAACATCGAAGACGGTGTACTTCGAGTCGACAACCTCCTTCAGAACATCCAAGGAAGGCTCACGGTGCTCCCATCCGGTCTCACCGTAACGAGACTCGACAACGGAAGACCGCAGAATGTGCTCCATCTGGGACAGGCGCTCGTCCAGAGATGGCATAGCGCACTGAATAAGAACCTCACGGGCCTTGAGAGTAACCTTCGCGGAAGAGCGGGCCTCGAGCTCAGTCAACTTCTTGAGGATGGGCTTGAAGTATGTGCCAACATTCTCGACGAGAGGCTGGTTGGGGCGGTACATGTCCAAAATGGCCAGGACCAGGTTGTTCTTCGAACCGATGCGGCTGTGCGAGAGGACAGTGTGGACAATGCTGGTGATGTCGTCCTTGTTCTCCTCGCGAAGCTTGAGAATGACATCCTCGTCGCGCAGGTTGTGGGTGGAAAACAGCTTCTCAACATCATAGTACTGTTCGAGCAAACCAATGAAGACATTGTACTCGTTGGACTTCAAACCATCCATGTACTTGTTGATGACCTGAACCAGGGGCAAGAGAGTGGCCTTGAGAATCTCAGCATCGGCAGGGCCAATGTTCTCCTCGATGAAGCGAACGATGGCCTTCTGGAGCTGCTTGGCAGGGAACTCGGCCTTGCGGGCCTTGGCACGGTCAACCACGTTCTGCAGCTGAGCATCCAGTTTCTGAGGAATGCGAGAGTGCAGCGCAGAGGACTGCGCATTCCACTCGCCATAGGGAAGATCGGGATTGCGCAACACCTCGACAAGATCCTTCAGGGTGGTACCCATGATGACCTGGTTGTCGAAACCGCGAAGAATGTTCTCCAAAATGCTGTGAAGCAGGAAGAAGCGCTGGGAGGGCTTGTTACCGAGGATGGTAGGGGAGCCGAGCTCGGGCAGCTGACCAGTGAAGGGCTGAGCGTGCTTGACGCGGGAGGGGTCATCCAGGGCGAGGATACCGAGGATATCACCAGCCTCCAGAGTGGCACCGGGCTGCTTGATGAGCTGGACGATACCATCCTCCTTTGCGATGAGGGGCATGTACATCTTCATGACCTCAACTTCGGCGTAAGACTGACCAGCGCGGATGTGCTCTCCATTCTCAACGGTGAACTTGACAAGCTTACCGGGGGAGGGAGAACGGAGCTGGGTAGGGTCGTTCTCCTGCTCCAAGAGGCAGGTCTTGCCGTCAACACTGAGGCGAGTGGCAGCGGCCTCCTCCTTCCAGTAAACGTTGTGACTGCGGCCGCTGAGGAGAACCAGCAAACCACCGTCAGCCAGGGCGCGAACACCGACTGAGCACTTGGAGCCGTTGATGAAGAGGTGATAGCTGTCCAAGCTGGCACGAGTGGCAGTGAACTTGTAACGCTCGCCTTCGTAGATGAAGTCGACAGGGAAAACAGTCTTCAAGATCTCCTTGGACGGGACTTGACCCTTTCCGAGACCGTTGCGGTACTCCTCAATACCAGCCTCGCTAGCAAGGTGGGCCTTGGTGACAGCACCACAAATTATGGCGACGGTCTGATCGGGGCGCTCAGCGGTCAGCTTGTTCGTGATAAGCTGGTCGAGCCACCCAGTGGTGATAGTGTTATCCTCGAAGGCGGGGGTTTCGAGAAGCTTGATCAGGTATTCGACAGTGGTTCGGAAATCACCACGAATGCTCAATTCCTTCAAAGCAACAACCATGTGCTTGCGTGAAGCCGATCGGTTCTCGCCGTAGGCGAAGATGTGACCGAATTGACTGTCGGAGAAGCTGTGGATACCACCAGCAGTTCCGACAGAGAAGTAACCCCAGACGTTTGACGAACTGCGGAAGTTCAGCTCGTGCATGGTACCACTGGAAGGCTTGAAACCCTCGCCGGGATCTTCAGAGGTGATACGGCAAGCAGTGGTGTGGCCCTTGGGTTGAGGACGGCGCTGGGTCTGGAAGCTCTCTTCCTTGGAGAAGTCGAAGTCAATGTCGGCGGAGGTGTTGGGGTCAACACCGTAGAGGAGACGAATGTCACGAATGCGGTGCAGGGGGATACCCATAGCAATCTGGAGCTGGGCAGCGGGCAAGTTGACTCCGGAAACCATCTCAGTGGTGGGATGCTCGACCTGCAGACGAGGGTTCAACTCGAGGAAGTAGAACTTGTCATCAGAGTGCGAGTAGAGGTACTCGACAGTACCGGCGGAAACGTATCCGACCAACTTACCGAGGCTCACAGCAGCGCGCTCCATGGCCTGGAAAGTGGGCTGCTTCGCAATAGTCACAGGAGCCTCCTCGATAATCTTCTGGTGACGACGCTGGACGGAGCAATCACGACCGAAGAGGGAAATGTTGTTACCGTACTGATCAGCCAACAACTGCACCTCGAGATGGCGAGCGTTGCCAGCCAGCTTCATGATGAAGATAGGCGATCCCGGAATCTCGTTGGCGGCGGCGTTGTACAAGGCGTGGAACTCCTCCGCGTTTTCGACCTTTCGGATACCCTTACCACCACCACCTTCGGAGGCCTTCACCATGACAGGGAAACCGATTTCCTTGGCCTTTGCCAAACCCTCTTCCGGGGAAAAGGTGCAGCCCTGCTTATAGACCTCGTCCTCGACTGTGACGATGCCGTTCTCATCGAGCTTCACGGCGTCAACGCCGGTTCCAGACCAGGGAATACAAGGCACACCAGCATGCTGTGCAACAATGGTCGAAGAAATCTTGTCACCCAGCGAGCGCATAGCTGAAGCTGGGGGTCCAATGAAGATGATCTTCTTGGGTGACGCAGCGAGAGATTCGGGTAACCGAGGGTTTTCGGAGGCGTGACCCCTACAATATGACCATTAGCACTTCGTTCTTCCGTTTTTGTTTTTGTTTCCTTTCTTCTCGGTATCTCCAAACCACTTACCATCCTGCCCACACGGCGTGAACATCCATGCGCTCCGCAATATCGACAATCAACTCGACGTTGGCATAATTATTATTATTGGTTCCACCGGGAACCTCGACATATTGGTCGGCCATGCGAATATAGTCGGCGTTGGCGGTCAAATCCTCGGGCGTAGCCATCACGGTAAATTGGATAGCCCGCTCGTTTCCGAAGGTCTCGTAAGCCCATTTCCGCACTGAGCGAATCTCTTTGACAGCGGCGATACCGTTGTTGGCAATAAGCACCTAGGAACAGGTTAGTCCCATGTCCAATTTCCCCGCCTTTTTTCCCGCAATCACGGATCTGCTTTCGATTTCCCACTTACCGATGTGATGACGGAGTGACCATCGTGAGCAGCCACGAAGTCCTTCACAGCGCTAGGGGGAGCTGATTCGAGGGCATTGCCACCGATGAAATGTGAGGGGAGGTCCTGTTTGGCGATAGTCGCGCCATTGCCGTTTGTGATACCCATGATGTTGATGATCACAGGTCAGACTGCCTTATAAGGAATTGAAGTTTTGGTTTCGCGCGGTATGCAACAGCGCTGATTAAAAGGTCGGTAATGTACAAGTGGCGGAAAGAGCCCGAGTGGTGGCTGTAGGCAGAAAAAAAAAGGTGAGGTAGGGAGAGAGGGAGAGTAAAAGGAGGATGAGCGTCAGCAATGGGATCTGGAGGGAAAAAAAAGGCCAGGTCAGCACAAGTAAATTGGAAAACTTGTTGAAGAACGATAGCGTCAAATGCGGAATCGGTCTGCAGGGTTCGCAAACGGAAGTGGAAGTACAGAGTAAGCCCTAGTACTTGGGTATGCAGTCAGACTTACCGGGAACCACCAAAACCCGAATCGAAATTTCTAAGATTGGAATAGAGAAATTGAAGAGATTCAGAACTCAAGTCCAATAATAATAAAGTCCAGGGGGAAAATTGCTGAGACGATGATTTTCTGGAGGTCCCACCCCAAGTGGAGTTGATCCCAACTGGCTATGATGGATTCCCCTAAGTGACCGAAGACATAAGTATCTTTACATAATTAACAGTATGGAAAGGTACTTACCCAGGAACGAGCTCTCCCCCAACTCCCTGGCTTTGTTGGGCCAGGTTCCACTACAATTTGTTGCCCACCACTTCTACCGATTTGGCATTTGTTTTTGGGGGATTTCTTTTTATTCTTTTATTCTTTTTATTCTTTTTGGTATTTTTATGTTTTTATTTTTTGGATGGATTTTTTAAAAAAAAATAGAGAATTACATCAAAACCCATCCAGCTTCTAGAGAATACTCCGGATCAGTAAAGGAATATCTCATCTATACTACTCCGTACACTATACGTACTAAGGAGTAAGTACCCGTATTCTGGATGCTTCCCCACGGGTCCCGGCACCATTCGCACCCGTGCATTCGGCACCCGATTCGGTCAGTATCTTTAAGAGAGCGATCTTCGTCTCCATCACATGCCATTCAAAATTCAATCTTATTGAAACTTGGAAAATCCAAGATTAAATCATTAATTGGGCATATTGTACTCCATAATACCTACCTAGGTAGGTATATATACAAAGTAAAATATATTCTAAGCAATCTAGGCTAGAGCTGTCACTAAGATATGCTCCCGACCTCGGGCGGTCTACGCCACTTTTAATCTGAGGGCACCCACGCTATCCCGATCCGGCCAACGTGCATGATTCAACATCAGCCTTGGTGTAAATTGCGTACTTGGTACAACAGAAAAAAGGATCATAGGCCAATCATATCCATGATCGCCATATCCCCCCAACTCAACCCATTCCCAAACCATGGATTACGTCACAACTCAACTCTACACGAAAATGGACCCTCAACTTATAGCCACCTAGGTACCTGAGGAAGGTATTGCACATCATACAATGTTATAATTTGGAGCATAGTTAAATAACATCATGGGTATTATTGGATCTTGAATGAAAAGACAATCGCTGAGACACAGCTTAGAACGTCCCCAGAATCAACCGGGGGCCACATCGCACACAGAGGAACCAGGCCTGGCTGGTCCGACGAGTCAACATGCAAAACGGTACAGGAAGGAGATGACCAAGGCGGTCTGCCGGGAAGCACCCCCCACTCCTCTTGTAAAATGCAGTCGATCAAAGTCAATCTTGGAAGTATGTAAAACAAACGTGGAAAAATAACCCTAGCACACAAACCACCCGTTCACTAAACCCCCCGTGCAAATTCCATAAATACTAAACACAAAAAAAAGACGAACTAAAAGGTCTCTCCCAGGTCACTGACTGGGGTTTTCCTATTGGGTGGCGGCATGGCACCAGGTCCGATGCTAGTCTTGAAGCTTCGGGGAGCCGGGATGCCACTGATGGTTCGCTTCTTCACTATGGGGGTGGGGGTGGTAGTCACGGATGGCCGTTGAGGCGGTTGGATCTCCTGGGAGATGCGGGAGGTGGTTGGTGTGACAATGTCTTGGTCCTCATCGATGAGGGACATGCCCGCGATGTTAGGGAGTTGGCCGGCGTGGTTGCTGAGAGATGACCGGGGCCGCCGGCTCTCTGTAAGAGGGTTCGTCGAGTAGTGACCCAGTGGCGTTTTGGCCCCGGGACGACTCGAACGACTTTCAGGCCGGGCATTGACAGGGACACCCGAGTGCACACTCTGGCTGAAGGAGCTGCGGCTAGAGAAGCTAGTTCGGCTGCTCGGGCGACTTTCGCCGGTCCGTCCAAATGATTGACGACCCTGCGGGGGGTAAGATGGAGTGCTTTCGCTATCCCGCGCGGAGGAACCAAGGCTACTATTACTCAGTCGCTTGCGAGAATTCCTGCGAACAGTGATCGACGAGGGGACGATTGGGGTGTCGCTGATCACAGATCCAGAACGAGGGGATCCACGAGAGGAGGTGTCAGAAGGGGCAGGAAGTCGTGACTTGGCTGATTGGACGCGCTCTTCGAGCTTCTGCATCTTACCAATCAGACCACGGATCTGGAACAGTGATCCAGACTTGGGAATCCCTGGTGGCCGCGAGCTGTTCATTCTCGTCAAACTGTTGCGAGACGAGATCGACATAGAGGGAGTGGACCGACCATTGGCATTGCCATTGTTATTTCCAGTGCTAAATGCGCTATTGCTGTAAGCGAGGGATGTGGCTCGTGAATGAGTGGTGCGCGGTTGAGTCCGAGCATGAAGGGTTCTAGAATTCACTGGATCTGCACCAGCGGCTCTCTGTCGAGGGAATGTAGGCGTGGAGTTTGCATGGGGGTTTATTGACTTGCGCATATTCACAGACGACTCGGAGATAGGGGGCGAAGGTGGGGTAGCGGTGGACGACGCAAGGGATGATTTGGCGGGGGGCGTGGCAAATACTGGGGAAGATGTAGCAGTGCCAGGCGAACGGTCAAAGATCTCCAAACTCTGTGGAGTTGCAGGGCTGCGATGGTACAGAGGAGTAGGCTTTCGTCGGCGCATCCCATGTCCTTCGGTGTTTCGAAGCTTCTCTTGGATGATCTCGGCCTCAATCTTCAGATCCGACAGCTCGTCTCGGAGACGTTGGTTGTCAATGCGCAGCTGCTCCCGCTCCTGCTCCCCGTTTCTGATTTCCTCCTCTAGCAAGACCCCGCGCTCAATGCCGATGTTGTATTTGGACTCCATGTCCTCCAGGGACGAGGTGGTGTTTCGGGCTTGGCGCTCGTAGTCATCGTTGGCAACTTCAATGTCTCGAAGCTTGAGCTGTAAAGTGCGGTTCGCGTCTCGCAGCGTGGTGATTTCTTTCTGCAGGTTGTTCTGCACAGAGTTGCCTTCGCTTTTCGACTGCTTGTATTTGGTCTGCCAACGCAATGTTAGCCCCAGAAAAATTGTGGGCAATGAGCACGATGCTTTACCTTCCACTCGTCGACTTCATATCGCATCGTGTCGAGCTTTTCCTTCAGTTGCCGTTCCCGCTTTTCCGAAGCTTCAATGTCCTTCTCCATCTCAGCCTCCAGCTCCCGGCTGGAGGACTGAAAGTCCGCAAGCTCCGCCTCAAGTTGCTCATACTGGGATTTGTAATGAGCCAGTTCATCTCTGTAAGAGCTACTCGTGTGCTTCCGTTCGGAAGGTGACTCCTCGACGGCCGGCATCTTCTCGCGTTGGGCACCCAGAGGACCGGTCGCAAAGAAGATGTCTGGACGACGGGTGTCGTCCAAAATTGGCGAAAGTCAGTGGAGACTATACGCCAGGCTGTCTTGCCCTACAGATCGCTCCAGCCCCTCTCAAAGACTCATATGCTGTGTGGTGGCCCGATGTCAACAACCGTGCGTTTTGATAAGAGCCCCTCGCGGAGGCGGTGACGCAAGGGATTGATTGCGGTGCCTGGTGATTTGTCCGTCCACAGAGAGGAAGAGAAGTTCGAGGGATGTGGCGAGCTAAGATGTGCAAAGCTGGGTTACCTTCGACCCGCCTCGTGTCGAAAAGCGGGTTAGATTAGATCGGGCTGGGAGAAACCGGTGTTGTTGTTTCGGTCGTCAGGGGGGGCCGGTAGATACACTAGTCCTCATTTGGCAGATCTGGGCTCAGCCACCCACCGCTCTTTTGGCGCGTTTAAGGCAGAGTATTTCTGCCCCAGGCATCAAAAATAATATTAAGGCATCAATTTGGAGCTAAGCCTCATTGGAGCTGAAAGTGATCCTGATCGACCTCAGCCCGTGATCTGGACTCAGCAGTCCCCAGTCTCCAGTCTTTAGGTCTCTGGAGAAATCAAGTCGGAGAGGTAAGTAACTTTATCTGTCTTTCAATATTTGCTTTAGAATCCTCTGCGAGCTTCCAAGCTCAAAGAAGATGTGTTTGTTACCTCTAGACACTACCCTGGATGCTATGCCCACGCACGCGGTTCTTAAGATCGCTGATCATCCTATTTGCTTCCACGCACTTGTTTACCCCCGATTATTTACAAGCTCCATCTGTCTACCCCAGTGTTGAGGTGCATCGGCTAAAACGGGAGAGGATGGTATGATATCTAAACTTACAGTTTCGGTCCCTTAGATAGATCCCTCTAGTGAGGCTAAGGCCCAACCCGATCTATCACCATGGCAGACTCAACCGATCTCAACCTTGATGATGCGCCCAGCGACCTTCAAGACATTCCAGAACTGGCAATGCAATTGGTGCCCCCTCCGGAGGGGACATACCCTGACAAGTAAGTTCTCATCCCATTGCCCCTTGCTTAATAGGACCAATATCAACAACTTATGTCTACAGAGCAACTCTTCTCGCCGCAGTCCAAGACCATGGCAAGGAACATGGCTACAATGTGGTTGTTAAGTCGTCAAGCACGCCCACAGAGAAGAAACCCGGCCGCACCGCCAAGGTCTGGCTGCGTTGTGATCGTGGCGGCCACTATCGGCCACGGAATGGTCTGACTGAGGAAACGCGCAAGCGTCGCAGAACCTCACGGTTGATGGATTGTCCTTTTATGCTAGTCGCGGCCGGCTCTCCGGGTATCTGGACCCTCACAGTGCTAAATGCGACGCACAACCATGGTCCTATTATCGAGAAGCCGCGACAGGTGCCACACCACAAGGTCCGCAAGGGCCAGCTGCCAGCCATCCCTTATGATTGGCCCCACGATGCCTCATTTACCCCATACACCACTGCGCTTGTGATAATTGACATGCAAAAGGACTGTAAGTATTTCGGACTATTGCCACTATCAAAGGATCATTTGACTGATTTTCTCCTAGTCTGTTTGCCTGAAGGATACATGGGATATCAGGGTTATGATATTTCCGGCGCACAGGCTTTGATTCCCCGTCTACAAAGATTGCTCCATGCTTTCCGCTCTGGGGGCTTCCCGGTCTACCACACCCGCGAAGGTACTTAGTGTCTTGCGCTTAGCCCCCAACATATTTTTACTAACTCATACCAGGACACCGACCCGATCTGTCTACTCTTTCGAGCCGTGAGGCATATCGGTCTCGTAATAATGCATCCGGCTTGGGAATTGGTTCCCCCGGTCCGATGGGCCGTCTGCTTATCCGTGGCGAACCAGGCCACGACACCGTTGATGAATTGTATCCTCTTCCTGGTGAGCCGGTCATCGACAAGCCCGGTCGAGGTGCCTTTGCTCACACCGATTTTGAGCTCCTTCTTCGCAACAAGGGAGTGAAAAACCTCGTCATTGCGGGTGTGACCACCGACGTCTGCGTTTCGACGACCATGCGCGAAGCTAATGACCGTGGCTTCGACTGTGTTGTCTTGGATGACGGCACTGCAGCCGCTGAGCCGTCGCTACATGTTGGCACTATTCAATCGATCCAAATGGAGGGCGGAATATTTGGAACAGTTGCCAAGTTGGAAGACGTCATTCACGCTGTCGATAATTTCAAGACCGTCACCATGAAGAAGCTGGCTCCTCAGATGACCGTCTAAGTATGTACTATTTGTTTTAGCGGGTTGGCTTTGGACGCTGGGATTGGAAGGAAATTCCCCGGCGTTTGGGACTGGAGTTATCTCTTTTCTGTTGAGATACTGCAGTGCGCATACTCGTTGCTTTTCTTTTTCGAACCTCTTCTTTTTTTTAGGTTTTAGCGAGTCAGGGACTTCGTTGATCCCAGAAAGTGTCATTTTTTGCCAACCAATTTATGTGGAGAACAATAGTCATTTGCGCTTTTAGTTCAATTGGTTGTTTTGAATTAAGAATGACAATCACACTTTTGTTTGTATTACACCACATTAGATTATCGACCTCATCGTTGACTTGTAAACATGTTTCTCTATTCTGCAGAGCAAGTCAAAACAATGCAATAGATACAGAGAAAGAATCCACCCCTAAAAAGAATACATGCCCTAGAAACGCCACGCTCATGAACTAAAACTACCAAGGGACAGCCAGATTACAGCCATTTTTTCCCTGCAGCAGTAACCCGTGTTCTGAAAACAGGACTCTTGATCTCCATTCCCTGCTTATAGAACGGGCTCATCGCTGTCTTGACATAGCTCTCATATACCTCGTTCATGAACTGGCGCACGGCCTCTTCGGTTTGCGGCGAGGTCGGGTTGGCAGCGATGGAGCTGGAAGAGGCGCGTGTAGTGGATCCTGCTGTGCCTAGCAGCGATGAGGAACCAAGACCACTGCTTGTGCCGGTTGAAGAGGGGAGATGCGGGGGTTGGTGGAGGAGGAGGAAGCGCGCGCCACTTGGGGTGAGGAAGGCTGTGATGTACGCTGCTGCCGGTGGGTAGGTGTCGATATGCTTCAGGTACCTTTTGTGACAATGTTAGCCTTGGAGTTGGATGTTTAATGTGGGGCGTGAAGCGCGGTTATTGGGCTTGGGGATTCCCTGTGTTTATGACACTCAGGGATTCAAGCTCAGGGATTTGAGCCGGTTTGCAGGAACAATTTGAGGTTTGAAATAGCTTATTATACTCACATTCCGCCATTAGTCCATTGCGCTTCTTCCAATATGTCCAGACTTGAGTGGATGATGAACTGGTTCATGTACTGCGCTGTCTCCGGGAAGCGGAAACGTGCAATGCCATCACCACCCCCTTTGATGTGCCAAAGGCAATGTTGAACAAAGGTGTGTCGGTGGGCGATAGAATGGTGAAGTAGTAAGACATTTTGGGTAGATTTGGATCATTCAAGGTTGAGATGGACCCGAGGACAGTCGAGGAGCTGGAAATTGTGGCTTTACTAGCGGCCGCCATCACGTGGCTGATAAGAAATGAGCTTCCATGAAGATGATGTATACACGTTTGATACAATTTGAATATCGAAAGATATTTTATAGAAGTGCGAGCTTCTGGATTATGGAACTAGCTCATGTTGACCTTCACGCTGTCTTCAAAGAAAATTTGGGTGTGATATCTTGTCCAAAACGGATTCTCAGCTATTATATATCTTTGCATCTGTAAGCTAGAAATGAATCGGTTAACAGTATTGAAAATATATTTGAGTTCGGTAATACAACCATTCCAAGATATACATAGGGCATCAAAATATAATCAATATATCTTAATGTACAAGCCAACATTACCTTGTGTTTGGTACTCCGTATACTTCAAATGCCCCGATCTCCCCGCAAAGTCGCCAGCACGTGACTACCGATAACCAGCCACGGCTTTATCGCGGTCGATCGCTGTCGCAACTTTTTGACTTTCACAAGCATCTCCTTCCAAAGATACCAACATCGTTGCTATTAATACGAGCACACAAAGCCCTGGACCACCCCAACATGCCGGAACATCTCCCCTACGGATTGAATCTTGCGAACAAAAGTCTCGCGGCAAAGAACCCGGGGAACGGGCAGAAAAGAAAGAACATATTCGACGACGGCTCCGAAGATGAAGACCAACAAAATGGCGATGGTGCAATCGAAATCTCAACGATTGGAGGGTTAGAGGAGCCAGCTACGAAAAAGAAACCCACGCCAAGCGCAGGGCCACCGCCGAAACGCAAAATTCAATTTGGGAGCGGTCCGAAACCAACAGCCAAACCGCTCAGCAAGAACTCGCTGTTTGCAGATGATGAAGATGAAGATGAAGAAAGAGAAAAAGAGCAACAAGGCGCAATGAATCTTGGATTGAACCAGGCGAAGTCAAAAAAGCCAGCCGCCCCTGGCCAGAAATACACCAACCTCGCGTCAATGTATAGCAGCAATATGCACGCAAAGGCAGCCGAAGAACTCGACCCATTGATCTACTCATACGATGAAGTATACGACAGTCTGCACGCCAAACCCGCCAAGGCCTCAGTGGAGACTAAGAGCGAAACACCTAAGTACATGCAGAACTTACTACAGAGTGCGGAGATCCGGAAACGGGATCAACTGCGAGCTAAGGATCGCCAGCTAGCCAGGGAGCGTGAAGCCGAAGGTGATGAGTTCCAGGACAAGGAGAAATTTGTCACCTCTGCCTACAAGGCGCAGCAAGCGGAACTACGGAAGGCAGAGGAAGAGGAAGCACGCCGGGAAAAGGAAGAAGAAGAACGGCGCAAAAGGAGTGGTGGCTCCGGTATGATTGGGTTCTACCGGGACGTTCTGTCGCGAGGAGAAGCACAGCACGAGGAGGTCGTGAAGGCTGCAGAAGAGACTGCCCGCCGTATCAAAGCAGGCGAGATTATCGAGGAGACGGAGGATAAAGAGGATAAGACGGATGCTCAGAAGGCGGAGGATCTCAATGCTCATGGAGCTCGGGTTGTTGTGAATGACGAGGGCCAAGTTGTCGACAAGCGCCAGTTATTGTCTGCAGGACTGAATGTGGCACCGAAACCAAAAGCTCAAGTATCTACGGCGAAGGCAGGAGCTTCACGGCCTACTACTGGGCGACCAGGTGCCGGTGCTGGTTACCAGGGTGCCCGTGGTGCCCAGCGGGCTCGACAGACCGACATGGTCGCAAGCCAATACGAGGAGCGTGCACGACAAGAAGAGGAGGCCGAGGCTGCCAAGCAAAAGGAGATTGCCGAAAAGAGTCGCAGCCGCAAGACCGAGAAAGATGTGTCCAGTGCCAAAGAGCGGTATCTGGCAAGAAAGAGAGAACGGGAAGAGGCTGCTGCCAAGGAAAAATCGAAGGGGGCCTAAATGTATGCCAAAAGGTGGATTGGATCTATTGCATCCGTGTCATTTTGGAATACCTAATCTTGCATAGCGCCGGGGAGAAACATGTACATTACTCGTGATACCAAAAAGAGACACCGACTTTGAGTCATACGGCTATCTGCTATGGACGAATCTTGGAAGGTCCCAGGGTAAGAGCTGCGTAAAGTCCGTAAAGTCCAGTTGGGAACATAAATATGTAAAAAACTGTTTGCCCCCTCCCCATTTCTCTTCTTTTCTATTTACCCAATTCCTAGCATCATAACACTCGGTAAGTTCTCCTGGGCTATCACGATACACTTCGGAGAAACCATTGCCAAGACCTCTTAACCCCGGCTTACCTCACCCACCTGCCTCACATCACATGACCCCACACGGGCTGAGTTAATCCGGACCGAAAGCACTCGCTAAGCCGCCCCACACAGGTCGCACTCCCAATTTTGCACTCCCAATCGAGATTCAAGAATCGCTTCATCACCAAACCACTTCCATCTCCCGTTCATCAACGTCAATCATCCAACATGGGTAAGGTTCACGGCTCTCTCGCCCGTGCCGGTAAGGTCAAGGCTGCCACTCCTAAGGTGAGTTCTCTTCGATTTCCAGCCAACGCCACTCGATACACGATTCGCAGTGGCCATATATCCGACCGGTCTTTTTAACGACAATTTTGCATCCAGGTCGAGCCCCAGGAGAAGAAGAAGAACCCCAAGGGTCGCGCCTACAAGCGTGTTCTTTACACTCGCCGTTTCGTCAACGTTACCATGACCGGTGGCAAGCGCAAGGTACATATCGAATGACTCACACCCACCCACAACGCACAATCAAACACAACGCACATTTCGCAACATATCCACGACCACACACCACGAATATCAAGAGTGAAGGACAGAAAGGCTGACCAGTCGCGCAATGCAGATGAACCCCAACCCCGGCCAATAGATTATTCAAGTCGTTAAAACAACCACCTGAGCCGCGATCGGCTAGTCGAGTTCTACGATGAAAATCTTCGCATGACCACGGCACGACCACGGCCCAAACGAACGAAAGCACACCAGATACGGCTGGTACTTGTACGGATGATATCACGCTTCTTCGTCTTCACTTGAATTTTTTTTTGCTGGCAATGGGTTTTTTTGGAGGTTGATTCGCGGAAATGGATGAATACCCATGGCGGTCTGAGGATGGAAAGCTGTGGCTGGATGTGAGCTGTCCACGGACAGTCCTCGCAGGCTAGACTTCAGAGTCACTTTTCGACTCATTTCATAGGCTGTTTCATGAATTGCATTTCCGATCCAGAGATGGACTCTGCCTCTTTTTCCATGCTTTTCGGGTTATCTTGAGAAAGTGCCTAGAGCTATAGAGTTTGCTCTTTTTATTCAGTTAAGCTTCTGCAGGGCTGATACTGGACTTGTAGAATACATCAGGCGGGCCTTTGCCATGGTGGAGCTCAGCCCTTCGCGATTTGTCTTGCGGTTGTTCTGTTTGCCTCCCAACAACAATAATGTAGTACTATCCCCGCAGCGACTGTACATGGAAGTGTACTCCAAACCGCCTGCCCCACCCATATCAGAGCTCACCAGTATATATAGCCCACGTCCTCATCTTCGCAATCTTTCTGTCGCATAACGGGGCCCCGCACCAGGAAACGTGCGGGGGCTGATAGAAATTGGCGAGTCAGAACGTTGAAGATGGAGCCTTTCGATTTTATGCTACCTACAACAGTAGTTGGCTTTGACGAGGGGGATTGTAAAACTTGATTTATTTGGCTCAAGATGATGCTAGGGACGTTATGTTTATGGTGATACTACAACAATGTGTTTTTTGGATGTCTTCTTAGGTGTCTTTTCCCCCTTCCCATGCTATAACGAAGCACAAAGATAACTGGCTGCAAGTCGGGAAAAGCCATAAAGTCTTTTCCATGTATACCATGTGATGCGAGTAGTGCCTCCTATGCTAATTCGAGCCTATCCACTCGAAGTAAGTGCAATCGAAGAAGTCTTGAAAATGCTGAAGTAAATACGCAGAGATCAGAAAAAGTCAGTAAGATTGAATTGGATTTTGGGGGACCGAAGGGGAAAAAGCCCTTTTCGATCCATCCCTGGATAATATAAAAATAGTGCTAATGGTAGAACAATAGGCTTACATAGTGTCGATCTTCTGGCCGACATGCATTTACGCATCCACGCAAATCTTCCTATAACCTCCCACGTGGCGTATTGGTTCACATTGTACCTAGCACTCCCTAATGACACAAGCTCCTTCAGACTGAGACATAACTAGAGATACGTTTCACATGACTCGGAGCTCGACGTCATGACATAAATGACGGATGTTCCTGCTGTCGTGTGGGATAATGATCTGAAAACAAAGAGACATGACCTCATCAACTCAATGCCGGGTCATCCGGAAATCATGACTTTGTGAACATGTTTGGCAAACATGATTGAACGTTCCACAGCCGAGACGTCCACGGATCGACGGCTTAATTTAAGGTTACGGGGGAGAGCGTGAGATGACTAAGGAGATATTGGCCAGTAGCCAACTTCAATTCTGACCTCCACATCCACTGGAGCTAAAGATGAGACTCAACCAGCAGATATCCAGGCATGTCTAATCGTCAGATAGTGGAGAAATGTATCGCCTAGGAGCGATTGAGTTCAAATCGAGTCGATTATTCCAAACTCCTTGTCTCTACCCCACAAATTGCAATGACATCAATTGAACTCAATTCCGAGTTCTTGACCGTTTGGAGTTGATTTTTACATATTGTGATACTGCAGGGCCCAATTCAAGGAAGGGTCTACGTGTTATTTGGACCAGAAGATTCAACAGAACCAAAGGTTGCAGGTTACGGTGCTCCGTCACGTTAACTGGCGGAAAATAAAGCGTGAAAACCTGGAGTAGATATCAACTGCTGGGAGATCCACTTATCCCACTTCCTACCTCTGGTTGAGCATCATCGACTTCTGATGTTAAGCCTGTACCATGACATCGAGCTCCCCATTGCTTTCTTGGATCGGGCTGCGGGCCTTGTAATCCAAGCAAAGACATGGGATGGCTCAGCTGCATACCAAGCATTACCCTATGTACTCACCTGTGCTTACTCCAGTTTAG